TAGACTATAGCTCATGTGGTAGTTTTCCTGAATGGGGGGACCCCAATATAGAGCCCAATATATTCTAGCCATTATTATTGGGACCCCTAAAATGGGAAACCGCATGAAGCATTTGCAGTTGCATGTTGTCTTTAGTACTGCCCTAACACTTGCCATCCCCCACGCGCCCTACCAGTATTCTTCAGTGTTCACTATAGTCACCCAAATATGTTGGGCGAGGCATGTTTCCTAAACCCTAAGCTGGAACCCTGAACCCCAAAATTCCAAAGCCTAAACGCAAAATCGTAAACCTGAAACCCTGAACTCTGTAGCCTTACCACCGGCGCACATGGCCACACTCAGGCCTTCCAAGCCTTCCAGCTGTTCCAAGCGTGCAAGTACAAGCAGAAGAAGTAGTTCCACCGCCCCCTCCGCCAGGGGAGCCATTGCAGATATTAGCGCAGTTAGAGGGATTGCGCAGGGCTTTGGTACGGAATGTATAGGGGTTTCTAGAAGTCCCGTGCGTGATGCTGTGGAAGCTCTAATGGAGTTTCCGAGAACGAGGCGCACATAAACGCCTGAACAGGACCCGAAATTTGGAATCCAAAGACCTAGCCCCTGGGACCATCAACCGAAGCCGTAAACTCCAGATCCTTAGCCCAATGGTCTTAAGCTTGAAACTTAGCAGCTTACCCCTGGACCGTAAACCCCAAACCCTAAACACTGTTGTGGTTTTATGTGGTTTCCATTTTCTTGTCCATTCCATACTAACCCTTAGCCCTCAGCCTTAGCCCTGAACGACCCAGGAGGCGCCTCCTGATGCCCAGCAGATCCCAAGCGCAGGGCTGGCTCTGGGTTTGACCCAGCAGCCACAGCAGCCACAGTAACTAGGTTTGGGTTTGAAGGCGTCGATGTTTACGACTTTGGGCTTAATTCGTGAACGAGGGTGTAAGCTTCGGGGGGTGCAGGTTAAGGGTTTAAGTTTTGGTAAGATTTAGGATCTTAGGCTTTAGGGTTGGGTTCTACAGGGTTGTGAATGGATTTACAAGTTACTTACAGGTGTCCCCAAGACTCGGCCCTGTAGCCCAAACCCTAGGCCGTATAAGGTATCATGCCCACAGCTAACCCCAAATCCGGACACTAAACCCTAACCCAGACCCCTGGGACGATCTAGAAATTAGATCCCCTATAAACACCCATAATAAGCCCCATATAATCCCGACATAATTTCCCATATGGTTCTAGGGGATCTAATTTTCAGATCCCTTTGGGGGCCTGGGAAAGCTTGTAATATAACCCTAAACCCTAAAGCCATAAGGTATCATCTCTACAGCTTGGAGATGCAGAGTCCTGAGCTGATACAGCAAAAGCAGCGCCTGCAGGAGTGGCTTGAGCGCAGCTGGGTGGCAATTTTTGGAAAGTTCTGAGCTATGAAGGTTTAGGGTTTAGGGTTTGGGGTTAAGGGTTTAGGGTTGAGGGTTTAGGGTTTAGGGTTAAGGGTTTAGGGTGCATTTTGGCTTCCTAAACCACTAAAATTAGGACCCCATAAAAGTCGTGTGATAGTCATAGAGTCCTGCTTCTGGGGGTTGGGGTAACCAAATTCCCCTCATCAAAATGAGGAGCTGCCTCTTCTTGCTAGCGCACGCATGCCGGGTCTACTGACGCCGGATGTAAACATCCCACTGACCCCACATTTTGAAGACGTATTTCCAACAAAGTGGGTTACTGTAAGAACTCTTTTGGAGCAGGGGGCGAGGGTGCTAATGTACTTGGAGTGTCATGGGGACTTAGTAAGTAGGTTAATAACCCCTATCAGCCATAGAATAACCCCAATTATCCCCAATATTAACCCACTTACTAAGTCCCCCATAACCCTAAACCCTAAATACTATAGTAGCTTCCATTTTCTTTTCCATTATTACTATATAACCCCTATATATACCCATTATTAACCCACTTACTAAGTCCCCATGACCCTCCAAGTAGGGAGAAGGGATTCCATGCAACCGCTACCGTGGACCTTGGGGGGCCGCGTCGGTTTCAAAGCTAAGCGCCTGAGTCGGACAGATTGAGTAGTATTTTATTTGGGGATTCTATGGTACCCAGTATTATCGAGGGTTTAGGGTTTAGGGTATAAGATAAATCAAGATTATACCCTCCTTGTGGTTATGGTATTTTATATAAGGAATATTATCTTACCAGGTTCAAGCACCCCAAAAAAACTACGCAATTGCTGACAACTTTGGATGGAGGCCAAGCGTGCCAGGTTGAAGAAGGGGGCACCGGGGCTGGACATCTCCCAAAGACGATTTCTAGCCTAAACCCTAAACCCTAAACCCTAAACCCTAAACCCTAAACCCTAAACCCTAAACCCTAAACCCTAAACACATACCTGACCATGTTTAGGCTTCCCTTATGGTTCTATAAGGGCTTAGGTTTTCTTTTAGGGTTTAGGGGTTTAGGGTTTAGGGTTTACGGGTTTACATCTCCTAGGGTTTAGGGGTTTAGGGTTTAGGGTTTACGGGTTTAGGGTCCAGGGGTTTAGGGTTTAGGGGTTTAGGGGTTTAGGGTATTGGGGTTTAGGGGTTTATTCAGACACTTTGTGGCCCAAAACCCTGTAGCCAAAGTTCAACCCAGGCAACCAAGAGAGGCTGCAGGAACGGTTGCTCCGAGCAGAGCAGTCTCCTGTCCGCATTGTAGTAATAATAAGAACAATAAGAGCAATAAGAATAACAATATGAATAGCAATCATAATAACAACAACGACAACAATCATAACAGTATTGCTATTTGAAATATTTACTAATAATGAAAGATCAATAACTACAATGAAAACAATATTGTCTCCTGTCCGCATTGTTTACAAACATGGGGTCGACCCCCCTTAATTCATTTTTTCAGGGTCCTGATGATGAGGATTATGGTATTTGGGAGCGGGGCCCGTAAGAGGGACCTCAATTTTCGGAAATCCCTTAGGAGGACCCCCCACCCTGTAATAGTAGTATAAAAAGAATACAAGAGGACCCTAATATAATCCCTATTATCCCTTATAGTCACCTTTTCTGGGTCGGGGGTCCACCCAAGAAATCCCGGAAATCTTTGCTGGTCGTAATTGTTTGCCAGCACTTGGCAAAGCCAATCCACACCTCTTAACGCCCAACAGCTTTACAACCACGGGCGCTGCGAATCTAAGCCGCCACCCGCCTTGGCGTGGAGTTGGAGGACCCAGCCACAAACGACACCTCCACCCACCAGGGACATTAAGAAGCCGGAAGTCATGCGAAGGATGCACTCCTAAGGCACGGCTACTTAGCAAGAGCCCGAACATGTTCAGACCTAAAACGGCTGGACTGACGCAAGCCGCAATCACTACACCATGATTGGCCAAAGCCCTGGCGCCACACATGCCAAGGATGTGCGAGCCACAGATGGTGCAAAAAAATCCTTCCTTGTGCTTGGTTTAGGGTCATGGGGCATATTGGCCGTAAGAACTCACTTGAGTAGTATTTTATTTGGGGATACTATGGTACCCATTATAGAGTAAGATTCTATCCTCCTTTTTGGGTATAGTATTTTATATGAGGAATATAACCGTATTAGGTTCAACCACCACCACCACCACCAAAAAAGCACTACTCACCTGACCGAGGTAGAAGGTGCTTCTGAGTTGAAGGCACGCGTCTGTCCAGCCAAGCGTTGATATCGGAATCGGCATGCATAAAGTACATCACATGCTTACCCACCCAATAACTTCGCTGTCCCGCCACCGTCCGCATGAACATGTCGCACCAAAAAACCAGCCCAAGCTAACGCCAAACTCCCTCAAAGATTCAAGATCCAAGTGTGAACTGATCCAGGGGAAAACCTCTCGCGTAAGGCAACGATCAACTCTTATCGGCAAGTCGGCATGTACCACATGGGTTGATATCCTACTGGAATGGATGAAACACCAAGGCTCTTACTGGCCAGCAATAGCAAGCACCTCTGGGAAATCCTAGCCCTACATCCTAAACCGTGTGCTGGCACCACAGCTGTCGACTGCTTCCCTCCTTCGGCGCAACCTCTGTACGACCCCTTCTCGCCTTGAAACTCCCAGGGTATTCAAAATTTGCCGACCTTCTTGCCCAAAATCCGTAAGCCCTAAGCCCTACATCCTAGGCCCTCAACCTTCAATCCGAACCCCCAAGCCCAACCCAAAGCCGTGGTCCTGCGTAACCCCTGTATAGGCCTATATACACACACACAAACACATACATGCTCATCTCCCTTATTCCCTACCTCTTTTGAATGGCTTCACTTTTCTGCATTTCCACGTACTCCCCACGAAGTTTTAAACCATAGATAACGGGAGATACTGGGTGCAGTTATCGGTGTGGTTGACCACATATGTTTAATATGTATATGTATTACTTGTACATACTTATATATATATACATATATAGATGTGGGTTATTCATCTATTTGTTTAATTGTTTATCGTACATACATGTATGCATGCATACATACATACTTACATACATACAGACATGCGTGTGTATGTATATAGTACATATATATATATATCTATGCACGTATGGCATGCATGCATATGTGGTTTACATTCATACATGCCAACATTACATAGGCTCGGTTTTGGCAATCTAGCTGAGGCAGCGTTTGGTTGCGGAGAATCGCAGGAAAGATAGCGAGAGGCAGCGCGAGGAGGCGAGACAAGCTCGCAAGGCCGGGAGGAGTGGACAAAGCCAGGTAAGGAGTACGGATCTAGCGGTTCGGGGTTTAGGCTTCTTGCGGTTTGGGGCTCAGGGGGTTAGGATCCAGGGTTTAGGGGTTTAATGTTCAGGGATTTCAGGGCTTGTTGGCGATTCGGAGCCTTCAGTGGAGGGGGGTTAAGTAAATTTGCGGCGTTCTTCGTCTTCAGGATCCTATTGATCTAGGATATGGTTGCCGCCGCAGTTCTGAGGTAGCCTTCTAGCATACGTAACATTATATTGCCATATGTGGCATTTTTTCAACAGCTGGGCGCCCAAGTTCCCCTCGGAAATGTTCTCAGATGTTTCTCAGGAACCCCAGACAAGTGTCAAAGAGGTTTCGGAGTCTCCAAATTGCAATCTTCTTACATCCTGCGGTCTGGACTCCTTCGGGGACCAAGGGTTTAGGGTCCAAAGGCTAGGGTTTTACCTTCCTCAAAGGTAACGTAGAACCCTATACAGATGGCAGACGCGTGGAAAACGTATAGTAGAATGGTACCCCCCATCAACTTCGATTTTCGGCAAGAGGCTGTAGAGGCTCTCGTGCAAATGGAAAAGGACTGCTTGCAGAACTTGCAATGGAGATTTCCGGATAAGCTTTTTATTCAGTCACATATCATGCCTGGACAATGTCTTCCCTGCAAGATTTGCGCGCGTAGAACTTAAAACTGCTGTGTGTAGGAGATAGATGTCCTTCACCTGGCCCCTTAGAAGAACCCTACATAGTTTCTGTTGTCTGCTATGATGACTCCCTTGCACATCCACTCACTTTAAACGATCATGAATGCAGCGCTGTGCTTGATTCTTGATGTAGATCCCCTCTAAACTCTTTACAATCGTTAGTTCCGCATTCTGGTACCTTCTTCTTGGAAGTCAGAACGCTTAAAAAGAGGGCTCGCCGCAGTGAATTGTAGCAGTTCCTAGTGGTCCATGGTCTCAGATGGGGCTATCATTGTCCATTCAGCTTTTGAACCTGTTACAAAGGGTTTCCCTGCACAGCGTATAGCTTTACTTAAGAACGAAGTAGTACAAGAGCTTAGACCTGAAAAGATGGATTTGGGGAAGGGCAGCTTTTAATGTAGGCTGGCTCATCACAGAGACTGTGACCTGGGGGCTGAAAGGGAAGACTGGGCAAGCACAGTGAGGGAGGGCAAAGAAAATAAACGGTAGATGGGTGGTTGTCGGGGACCCAAAAAGGGACCATAATTTTGACAACCACCCAGAAGGTTTTCGTTGTTTTTGCCCACCTTACGTGTCCATGTCCTTGTGGGCACAGGCCCCATGCCCCGGCAGTTGGTGGTTCGCTAGAAGGCATTCTATGTGATTCCTATGAGGGTTCTGTTGAGGCCAGATCAGGATTCTGGAAGACTCTAATGGCTTTTGAAGTGGGTTATCCGTTAAGGTTGAAACATAAATTTGCTCGGTTTTGTACCAGAGGTTCCCACACCGGTTTCACTTGATGATGCTTAAGATTTCTGAAGTTGTGTGATGTGCATATGCTACGAACCAATTTCCAACAAACCCTTCAAAAACCAAACTGCGCAAAACTACCCTTCGATTGTGTTCACAGGGCCCCATTCGGGGTGCTGGCATTGGGGCCTAAACCCTAAACCCTAGACCCCTAAACCCTAAACCCTAAACCCAGAACCCTAAACCCTAAACCCCTAAACCCCGACAACGTCCCCGTCGTCCTCCTTGCTGGCGATGAGATGCAGATGGGTGGATTCGGGGACAGGCGTGCTTGGCACAGCCCCATGTGGAAGCGCATGGTTTTCCGAATGAAGCTGCATCAGGTCTACCGGTGCAAAGACCAGGAGTTCAATCGAGTTCTGATGGAGCTTCGCACGAGTCGGCCAAAAGCCGCCACGCCGGAAGCACAAGGCCGGGGCTCCACCGCGAGAGCCAACAGTAGACGGGATCCGCAGGCTCTTGAAGTCCCATCCAGACACTGTCGTTCTCACGTGCACCAGGCAGGGCGCTCACGCCATGAATGAGCTGGCAATGCAGGCCTTGTTTCCATCCGGCCGTCCTCTGGTCGTCCTGCCAGCGGATGTGGACTCCAATCCGGACAATTACGAGGATGGGCAGCTCTTGGAAGATGCATCTGCTTTGCAGTCCTTGCAGCTCCCCATCTACAGGGGCATGCGGCTGGTGTTCACCCGAAATGTCCGCAAGGATCTCGACTATGTGAACGGCATGGACGGCAAGGTCCTGTCCTTCGACCCTAGCACGCAGGCGCTCGAGGTCCTCACTGCTACCGGCTTCAGGGTTATGGTCTGGCCATGGACCGACGTGGAGCGCGGTGATCTGACCTACTACCCGATCAAGGCCGGCTACGCGGACAAGATAATGAAGTTCCAGGGCGCGGAGCTGACTCACGTGACAGCCTTCTTGGACCGAGCGGGAATTCCGGGCGCGGCCTACACGGCCCTGAACCGTCAGCTACGGCAAGGACTTCCTCATTGGCGGCCTTGTGGACGCGGAGCATTTCCAGCCTGTGGACGAATCCTGAGAGACCCATGTGTGCAGCGCTTGAAATCTGCCACAATCTGGCCGACGGCTGGACTTGTCTGGTTGTCCTAGATGCCTGATGAGAGGTGATGTTTTCTAATTTCTGATTTTCCGAGCGGAGGACGACCCGGGAAACGGTTCTTTGCACACTGCAGAAGTAGCCTGAGGTAGTAGCACGGCGAGCGGACTTCTCTTCTGATTGAAGCTACCCATGAACTGGAATGCAAATGCAAGAGCTGTCACTGCTTTGGTGCTGGCCTTGCCTGCTGTTCTCGATTCCCGAAGGTGCGCAGCTCGAGCGGTAGTTGGCAAAACATGCACACTTGCCTGCATTCGTTACAATTGCCAGCGTGTCCTTCAGTGGCGCGAGCCCGGCTGTCTCAACTTGTGCTACCCGCTCTAGTAACTCGGCACCTTGGCTCTCCTGCTT